CTTCCCTTCCCTTCCCTTCCCTTCCCTTCCCTTCCCTTCCCTTCCTCTCTTTCCATAATTTCACTTATCTCTTTGCAGGGAAGCTGCATGAACTATGTTACAGGGGTGTCATGCTTGGGAAATGGTCAAACCCAATACAGAAATGCCTCTAAAAAGCAAACACTTCAAACAGAAGGGATGAAATGGCAGACATGGGGATTTATAGGAAGAAGGAAAGAGTCAAGAAATTAATTACAGAGGAATCAGCAGAGTCACAGATAAATGGTAGGGTCTGCAATATTTTCTCCCAGTAGCTGCTGTTAAGAGCTCAAGTTTGTGTTGCCTGGTTTGCACACCTGAAACTAAGATTGCCTTTAGTCTGAATTTACTTCAAAACAAAGGGCTGAGAGATGGGACAGTGGATACTTTTTTCTGTCCCTGAAGGGGCACATCTTGGGCAAAGGTAGTGGGATGCTGCTGGTAACATCATACAGACAGCCACAGAACTACTTTAATAAGGGCTTATGCTGATTCCAGAAATATGAAGCTCCTCCTGCTGTAGGGCAGGACATCATCAGCCTTCAGGAGGCAGGGCTTCAGGGGGGACCTGTTGCAGTTGAACTGGCCATTCAACTGAGGGAAAACATTTTATTTGCAATCGTAGTCATTTGTAGTAGTAAGAAATTGCAAAAAATGCAAGCCGCCTCATCAGAAATCAGAAACGTGAAACACAATTTACCAGCAGAAGTCTGATTAGCAAATGAGGTCTCATGGTATGCTGCCCACTGTGCCATAGGAGAGCCACCCGTGGGCACAGGGCTTGGCTGGTTTCAGCAGTGATCACAATGCACACCAGAAAAGGGAACACAGGCATAACAATGACAAAGCAAAAAGGCACAAAAACAATGACTCAGACAAGTTGTGTGACCTATTTTTATAGTCATCTCAGGTGATAGTGGAGGAGGAAGTGTGTGCTTGTGGAAGGCAACCCTGTCTTTCCAAGGGACAGGGCTGGGGAAGGATCATGGACCTGTGGAAATGGAGGCAACCTCAATGGAGGAGAGGTGAGACCAAGGCCCTGCTCTTTCCCTGAGACAACACATGACTTAGGCCCTGAGTCCACCTCTTGGCTTGCTTTGGTCTCCTTAACCTAGAGAAAGAGCTGTTTTACAGAAGCATCAGTACCTCCTGCGTCTTTCATCACCTCATCATTGAATTACATGATGGGTGCAGACTCCTAACTCTGAGTTACATATGTGCTCTGTGTTACATTTGTGCTACTCGTTGCAGCATGGCCTTTCCTGGAGCTCAGGTCAAGGCCAGGGTGGCCTTTCCTCTTGCAGCCCACAGACACTGGGTGCTGAGCCAGGTAGGTGTTTATGAAAAACAAACCTTATGGACAAAGTGCTTGTGAAAAAACTGTCTGCTTATCAGTACCGCTGGGAAAACCTGAGTTTCTGGCTCTGACATTTGTTGTCATGTCCCCTAAAATTCAGTTGTGTCATAAAGGCAGGAGGTTTTCACAAGGTGGCATTTATTATAGTTTCCTGGTGGGGGATGTCCCTAGAGTAAAAGCGAAGCATTTAAAAAAGGGGAAGTGGCACTCAGTGGATCATTCGTTCATCTCTCTGAGCACACAGCTAAGATGATGATGGTCACTTGCCTGCTCCTCTCCAGTGTCTGGACCGCTGTTCCAGGTAACTCCCTTATCTGTCTGGGTGGGTGTCTGTGTCATTTTCCTAACAGCATTAGGGACCTCAGTGGCTGTGCCAGCCTCCTTCTGTGCTGCTGGGTGCTGCAGTCCCCACTTTGCACCCTCCTGGGGCAAACCTAGTGATTACAGGGCACTTGTGGTACTGTACTACTTACCTTGGGCTCAGGCATGTCACTGCTGTTGCATTGACAGCATCCAGTTCTTAATTTAGCACCAGTGCACCATAAATTCCAGAGAGATGTATAAAGGTATTGCAATGGGCAAATTATAAAGCAGGCAGACTGTGTTTTTAGGTATCTGCTCAGGCCATCAAAAGCATGGATGTATTACAGTGGTTTTGTATTTTAAAATCATGTTGAAAAGGTTGAATTAGTTTCAAACTAGCTTCCATGATCATGGTTTGTAGTCTGCCTATGGCACTGCTGAGATCTAGAAAGCAAAGTGACTGGCACAGCTTGACAACTGGCTTCTTGGCCTTTGATGGAAATCTGCCTGGCCATGGTCACAGCCAGAATCTCAGAGCACCTTCTTGAGTAGGTTAGCCTAGTGTACTTCTGGACACTGCAGACAGCCTCACCTTCTCTGCAAAGATATTTCCCTTTCTTGTAAATTGAGTTATGTTCTCAGTGCTGCAACTGTTACTGCTGATACCTCCCCTGCCATGCTGACATGCACAAATAAACTTTGAAAACTATTATGCCATAAGAACTGTTGAGCTGAGCTGTCAGCTTCACTTTGTCTGTACCCTTAACAATTTTTGCATGTCTACGAATTGGAAGAGGAGACTGATTGTTTTCTTCTTTTCCCTGAAGACTTTTAATACCATGGCATTTATGCTGTGCAAGTTTTCTCCCTGCAGGCCATCAGTATTTTTGATGTACTTCTGCAGCTGTTTCTCAGCAGCATGACTTCAATGTTGAGATAAGAGGACAGATGTAGTTTGCCTCAGGTTCTTCCTGAGAACTCTTCTTGCTTTTTTCTTCTAGTTTTCTGACCCTTACCAGTTTCTAACAAGTGTGAATACATGATGTACGTATAGTGAGACACATAATCATTTTTAGCATTTTTACTGATTTGCTACACCTCATGCCACAGGAGGGCTAAGAGGGTGGTATTGGGCCAACAGCTGTTTGTCAGCATGGCTGAAAGTTTAGGGAATCTCTTCGTGGGTGCCCATGGGATAGCAGTCCTAGCAGACAAATCAGTGGCTCCCAACACCAGAACTGCCTTTCTCAGTGCTCTCTGCAGCACAGATATCAGGCTGGCAAAATGCTAGGTGTGAGAGGTGGCAGGTCCAGTGAAACTCTCTGGGTAGTTCTTTCAAGTTCATTTTCAACTTTTCCCTAGATGGAGAGATAGAGAAATCCTCCAGAGTTGCTCTGCTTGGAAATGAGGGTGAGGGGCTGTGGGGGCCTTTGGCGGGGTTGGGCTGCAGAAGAGTGTGAGAAATGCTGAGTATGGCACCTGCTTCTCCCCCAGCCTCTGTGCAGGTGACGAACAGAAAGGTCCAGTCAGTCCAGGCAGGAGGAAATGTTACTTTTTCATGCCGGTCAGTCACAAAAGAAGATGTGATACAGGTGACATGGCAGAAAGAGACGGATGGGACTGAAGACAACATAGCAACTTACAGTATGATTAATGGCCAAAAAATAGCCAAGGCCTATGTAAGCCATGTGAGCTTTGCCCACAGCGAGTTACAAGCCTCAGCCATCTCCCTTCATGGAGTCACCCTCCAAGATGAAGGATGCTACAAATGCATTTTCAACACATTTCCCTCGGGGGCTGTCACTGGCAGGATGTGTCTCAAGGTTTATGGTAAGGCACTGTAATTGTGTACGGGTGTTCATCTGAGGACCAAGTCATTTTTCCTGTGAAAACCCTTGCCTAACATTGCAACATTGATGCGGAAAAAATGGTTCTCCCTGCCTCTCTCTCCCTCACTGGTTTTACCTCTGATGGTAAACCAGCATTCAACAGTTCTTTAATTTTCTTACCTTTCAAGTCAGCAACAGCAAGATTCAAAACTGACATCTAACTCATGACTTCCTCCAAGTTTCCCTGGACGTGTGCTGTGCTGACAGCTGCCTGGCCACAGCCATGTACCCCGTGCTCCTCTGCTTCCTTTCACTGCTCTTCTCACCCCTTAATCCTGGAAATCAGGCAAATTTTGACTTGCTCTGCATTTGGTTATAAAAAAATTGCAAAGTATTCAAAATGCAAAGAGGCACATGCATGACCAGAATAGCTGGAAGCTCATTTTGAAGCTAGAGTAAAAATAACAGCAGTTGGGTTGGGGTCAGGAACAGGATTAAAACAAAAAAAAAAAAAGGAAGGCTGAAATACTGTACAGCTCATGGGATTTGACACATTAATATCTTGAGCACGTCAGCATCAACTAACTTAAAGAAGAGAGTTGAAAAAAATCATGAATCAAGATGGCAATATTTGTCACCTCCATATGAAATCATCAACTTGCAAGTGCAACCTGAAATAAAGACTAATAGATGAACTCAAAAGACCTAAGAGTAACAAGCTGCTTATCTTTTGAGGAAAGCTGCTGGGTTTTGTCCAGCTGAGAGAGCTGAGACATTAAACATGCTCTGAGGACACCCAGTTGACTCTTAGCTTTCTCAGAGATGAGACTGCTGTGGGGAAACTGGCCAAAGATCATATCCCATCTGAAGAGTATCAGTGTCTGTGCCCTGTCACTGGTGATATGACCCCCCTAGTACCCTCTGCTGACAAAGACATGGACACATGTGTCCACACACGTCTCCAGAGTCCTCTGTGTGGAGAAAGAAAGCTCCTAACCTAGAGGGGAAAGGAGGTGGTGGTGAAAAATACAAGGGAAAACCAAGCCTGGAACTAAAGTTCTTTTTCCCATGTTTTGGGAAAACTAGGGCAGAAAAGAGAAATGAGAAGAAATTCATGCGGTATTTCATATATGAAGAGGAAAGTTCCTAAAGAAAGCCAGTTCTGATTCATTCAGAGGGTAAGCACTGATTATATATTACAGGAAAAACATGGAAGCGGCTTGCAGAGGTATGAGGTGGCTGTGGGGTTTTCGGGGTCTCCCCAAAAATGGCTGCCATTTTTGGGTGTCCCAAACAGAGAAGTCCAGTTAAGCTCAACCTGTCTGGGCCCCTCAGGCAGGCTCCAGGGCTGCAGGAAATCTTAGCAAGCTCAGCTCTTAAATGAGATCAGCTCTTTAGAGATTCTCAGCTCACTAATGATTTTCAGCTCTTGCTTGCTAAGTGCCTTTGGCAGATGCAGGGAAAGAGAGGAGAAGTGCTGTGTGAGGTTCCACAGAGATGTCTTTATTGGCAGCTTCTGCAAAGGGTCTCAGTGACAGCTCTACTGCTGAGCTAAGCAGATGAGGGTGTTTATATAGGGTTTAGGAGTTTTGGAAATTGTCCAATGGTAAGGATCAAGGTGAACATGACCTATAGTCTTAAGAGAGATAACTAGAGTCCAAAGGCAGAAGAGGGGCTTCTTAGGTCCAGTCATCATGACTAGGCATTTCTTATCTTAGGCTGCTGAATGCCAGGGAGGCCTTGCAGGCCCTGTGCCTGATATGCAGAGGGATCTCATTCTTTTTAATCACATAAACACAGAGATTTCTTTTGGGTTTGCGTTTTGGTTTGTTTTTTTTTCTATCCAAGTGGGGGAATTCCCTCCCAAACTCACCAACTGTGAGGCTATGGTTCATCCTTCACCAGAGCACTAATTCTAAAAAAAGAAAAGGGATGTTTTTCTCCTGCCTCAGATGAAAATGCATCAACTGAGAAGGATTTAAGTTCTCTCATAGGCTCATAGGCAACTGCCAGAGGCTGCCTCACCAAAGTCATGATAGCCTTCCTGTAATGTGCTGTATCCAACCAGCCTGGGAGAGTCACCATGAACAAACTAAACATTTGGCACTTTGACAGCAGGTTTTAGTTCATATATGATTATCTCATTGAAGCCAATTTATATGATGCTACTTAAAAGCCATAATCTTGCTGGTTACACCCCAAATCCTCATGATGGGAACAACTTGTCTGAACAAGCCCAGAGGTTGCCTCATGAGGGAAAGTGAAACCAGCAGGAATCTCCCAAGGCTCAGAGGGTCAGGGCAGGGTAAGTTTAATTTTCACCAGTTGAAAATTAAATGCTGCCATGTCTTTGCCCTCAAGAGGGGACTACCAGGGAATTTACAAACTGGTAATTGTCTGATTACTGCAGCCTTAGCTAACACAGCTGTTCTGGGACGGGATGGGCACCATCACCGCGCAATGAAGGGAAGTGAAACCACATAAGAACTGGATACAACACTGTAAAAACAGAAACAAGTATGACTGGAAGGATGTCAGACCTGCCTGGCTGAAAAGAGCAAACTCAGCAAGAATCAGAAATGTCCTACCCTGTAGCAAAATCCATTTCAGAACAGAATAGTTTCAATCAAGCTTAGTGGGTCTCTTTTGAGCAGTCTGCTGCATTCCCCCTTCATTTTACTTTGGAAATATTTGCCAAACTTCATTGTCAAAGAGAATGAGAATGAAATCCAGAATAAGGATTGAGGGAGAGGGGGGTATGAGAGGCAGAAATTGGAGAGAGGGGGATGTGCCACATGAGGATGGGCAAGACTTGCTGAGTCACAAAATTCCCTGGACATTTGCTGCGCTGACTTTGGAGACTGCCTGCCTTCACTGTAGATGGCAACATTTGTCTGGAAGCCTTGAGCCCAGCTGGAAAAATGCCATCGCAATTTCTGAGACAGGGAAACCAAGGCACAGTACTGCTGGTTAACACCCATATAGTTTGAAAAAGCTTTCTGTCATCATGAGGCATATTGTGATTCCTACAATCTGTTATCATTTTCTGTAACAGGACTGCTAAGCCTTTAAACATAAAAAGCATATAATGAATCAGGTCATTATATGCTTTTTATGTTTAAAGTCTTAGCAGTGCCTAATTCCCTCTAATTACAGAAAGCCATTAGAGATTAAGCCATTTTCAGATATTTGGGAATGTTGACAGAGCTCAAATTTGGAAACATCTGCAATACTGATCTGCAAGAGAGACTAAAGCAATTACTGGCACACAACATCTCAGGTGAAGACTTTTTCACTGGAAACAAATATTTTGATGAAAGGCAAAAGAAGCCGTTAAGTGTATGCATCAAACATGAACAGCCAGCACATACTGGCAAACACCACAGCAGGACTTTCCTGCAAAAGCAAGCACTTACAAGTTTTGACAGTGCATCTATTACAGACATTTGCTAGAGAGAAGCTCAGCCCTGCAGGATCATTCATTGGGGTCCATTGTGAGAAGAGACAGAACTGCTTAGTCAGAAGAAGAGCAGGTGCAGAGTGCATGTGTTTCTGGCAAGACACTGAGAAGTTTTTCTCATCCTCTGTGGCAACATCTGTGACTTCTCCATGTGATTGCTTGTGAATTTTGAAACCTAATATTTGAAGTTAATGCTGTGGGTGGATGTGTTAATTTTATGCATCTCGTGAGTGAAAGAAGTTCAGAGATCATTTTTTAAACAAAACATAAATTGTTTGCAACACTAGTCTTTTCATATCTGGGAGATTTTGAGATGTCCCAACTGAAATCCCCCTAAATACTTTCCTTGTTTTTGTCAGAGGTTTCAGCAACTCTGTGGATGTTGAGTTTTTGTCTATAGTTGATGCAAAAAGCAAGAAATACAAGTTTATTTTTTCTATGCTCACACAGCCATAGTAAGTAAATAAGGTCAGGCTTGTAAAAAAATCAAACAACAAACAAAAAGCAACAAAATTGGTATACAAAGTCTTGCTTCTACCCTCTGGGAGTTATGGCTTGGAAGAGACAGACAACCTTTTGAGGTGCATCTGTACCAGGAGGTTATAGGTGCCATTACACATCTGGCGTGTACTTTTTCCCCTTTTTGCAGTGTCTGCTACACCTCACAGGCAAATCTTTGTTTACCTCTAAAAAGGAAAAATTGTTGTTTTTCCTAAGAATAATGAAAAGATCTTTTGTTTGCTCATTTAAAAGCAGAATTATTAAATGATAGAGGTATGTTCTAGTGTTGGGATAAAAATTAATTTTACCATAAATATTGCACTTAACACTGTTATTTTTCTTATGTAAGTAGTAATATACACACGGAGTTCTACTAATTACAGCAGTGGATACTTTTTTAAACAGAAGGCATTCATGGTAATTCAGATTTGATTGAAACTAGAATTGCCATTGAACTTAAATGCTTTAAAAAAGCAATATTCTCAGAAACAGAGACCTAGAAGTAGACCCTATTTCCTCAGCACATGCACTGAAGAAGAAGGCAGGCTGGTGAGCTGCCACGCAGAAACCCATGGATTGCACTCCCAAATTACACACCTTTAGAGATATTGTGCCTGTGCAAACTGACCTTATCAAACTGAGCAGAGGCTTGAACTAGACATTCTCCTGAAGTCTCTTCTGACCTAAATTATGGCATGATTTTATGCCAAGGGATAAATAGGTGATTTTTCACATGGGACATGTCTTATGTGCTCAGATCTCATCTGGAGTTCTATCCAGGTTGAAACCAACTTCCAGAACTTCTCCCCTTTATCTATTTCTTGCAAATACAGTTTGTATAAATAGGAATCAACAAGTAGGCTTCATGTGAGTGATTAAGCATGAATGATGCCTGTAGTTCATCCTTCTTCCAGACTAAAATCAAATGTGACAGCATCCACAAATCTCTGGAGTGAGTGTTGAAAGAAGTGATCTTTCATGATAATTTCGAGGGATACTATGACGCACCCAAAACCCATTTAACAAGAAGAAACAAAGTTGAACAAGCACAAACCCTCCAAGGTGAAATCCCATGGTGTAACCACATACAAATTCACTATTACTGTCTTGCATAAATAGATCCATTTAGTCCTTTGATTTGCAACTCTACACACCTCAACAGCAAAAATGCTAAACAGCGGCAAAGCTAATCCTGCAGGTAATTTTAAAGGAAAATAATTCTAACTCATTTAAGCAGTTCAGCTCTTTCAAAGAGAAAAGGACATGACATATGACTTCACAGTTCACTGTCTTCTGCTTTTAACTCAGCCATAATCACCACTTCTCAGCTGGGTGGCTGCTGCTAGTAACAGAACTGAAACAGATGCTTCTACCCTTTTGCCCTTTCTGTTGTCCAGCTCTTCACTTCCAGACTACTGCCTGATCACCTTCATATTCATCTGTCGCTGCTGGGGCTTTGGGAAGGGGGAGCTAAGATTAGATAGTAAGCTTTTCCTCCAAGATAACTGTAAATACAGATGCTCTTTGTTCAAACATAGGCAGAAACTAATGGACTTTGTCACCTTGTTCTTTACAGCCATCTCAGACCCCAGAGTGGAAACTAAACTTATATCCAGTCCAGACAAAGCTGAGGACTCTGAGAAAATGGTGGGGATGAGCTGCTCAGCAACAGGGAAACCAGCTCCAAAAATAACCTGGCACCTCCCCAGCATACTGCAGCAGAAACCAAAGGAGTACCACATAAAGTTCAGCAACCAGACCGTGACTGTCATCAGCAATTTTACCCATACCCACTCCAAAATCCTTCGGGAGTATCCCATCACCTGCATGATCCAACATCCTTCTCTAAATGTGACCCTGGTCCTGCCCACAGACAGCCTGGAGCAGGGTCAGTATGTAACTCTGCTCCTGCTCTGGGATAGGGCAGAAATTGGGAAGCACCTCCTGGGGTAGAATCAGAAAACTCCTCAGAGGGTTGGAAGGTGGGAAAGGCACCTGGAAGAGCAGCTGTGGTTGGGCTTGGGAGGGATGGAGGAGGTGCCATGAAACATCCAGATGCCCTGGCCAATGGCACATAATGTCTTACTTACTGCTCCTGAGGTCCTCTTACCCACCATGATGTACCCCAACCTCCCTGTCTCTGTGAAGGACTATTTGTGACAGGGTTCCCTGTCACGTAATGTGACAAACCGAAACATGCCAGTGTTGGGTAGCTCAGAGGGGCTGGGTTGTACATGCCTGATCCTAACATCAGACCAAGCACAGGTGCTCACAATGCCACTTCTGTGCATCATGCTGGAATGTGCTCCCAGTGCTCTTATCCATCTCATTTCACCCCAGGGAATGGCCAAGGGATGCTTGAAATGGGTTTCAGGTTGTTTTTTTTTACTTCATGCACAAACTGAGTACCTGTTACTTTCCCCACAGGTCCAGACAGCAGCATGGCACTGGCCATTGCCATTGCACTGGGGGTCCTGGTCCCCCTGACCTCCCTTCTCATTCTCACCTGCCTCTTCTTCCACTGCCTCAGGCACCTACATGATGCAGAGAGAAACCCAAGCTGGCCCTGCTGGGTAGGTCTGCCTTTCCTCAGGGTGCTGCAAAATTCACCCCCACAGGTCTTGAGGTTCAATACCATGACCTGGCTTTACCCAGCCACACAAGGGCTGCCTGCACACTGCCCAAGCCAGGCTGAAACTGGGCTGGAGAGGGACACAGGAATGAGCCCCCAGTCAGACAGCTGGGAAGGGGAAACCTGATTGTGTATAGCCAGCCTACAGGTGCTCAAGAGTGCTGGCAGCTAGAAAACATTCATTATGCCAATGGCAAGGCACGCTGAAGTGGGAGCATCACTCTACTATTACATTTATGCACAAAATACTTCTGTAAGCAATGGGTCTTCTACAGCTCCTAAAACAACCTCCCTCAGCACAACCAACGCAGCTCACGAAGGCAGCAACTTTGAGGATGGGCCTCAAACAAAATGTGGTCTTAGAGGAAAACCATGCCTCTGTGAGGGAAGCCCAGGGTGCCATGCTGGGGCATGGGCTGAGGCACTGCTGATTGTACTCCAAGGCTATCCTGGTGCAGGGGGTGCAGGATACAAGCTAGAGGTGGGGATAAACTGAGGTGAAGTGCAATCGTTTCAGAAAATCATAGTCCAGTTTTGTGAAGTCTCCTCATCCTCCTTGCAGTACATGTCTAGCATGTGCACCCTGGATTCTGGTGAACATTTTGGAAAAAAAGAAGCAGTGGAGGAAGTGCAACACATGTCTTAGGTGTAATACCTCTAGGTCCAAGCTGAAGCCTGCTGATGGGACTGCAAGGGGAGAACTTTAGTTTCCCCTCACAAAGAGATGCAAGGACTCATTGGCAATACAAATATCCAAGATCTTTACCCTCACATCTAAAATATCCATATATTTTTAAGAAATAAACACAACAACTTCTCTTTCATCAGGTACTTCCTGCCTGCACCAAGGCCAAGAAGTGCAGGCAGTACAGAGCTGCAAGCAGGTGGGCTCCTGCAATATCCCACAGCCTTGGTGTGCCACTGAACACCTGAGAAGCTGCCACACCTACACGTGTAAGAGATAAACTCTTAAAATGGCACCTCAAGCTTCCAAGGAAACTTCGTGTGACTTTCTCCAATAGAAATATAAAAAGGGGCAATTTATAATATATATTTATTTATTTTATTATACTATAATATTCTGTTTCATAAGAAAAAACTGTAAAGTATTTATTTGAAACTCAGGCTGGCTTTGTGGATCCTTAATGGAACTCATGTATTTTGGGGGGTTTTAACATTGTTTATTACTCTTTGATATTTTAACATTGCAAACTCAAAAGTGGAAGGGGGATTGTCTGAAATAAGGCAACATTTTGTAAGGCTGCTGGCTTGGAAAGTGTTGCTGATGGACTAAAGCAGCCCCTTACCAGGAGCTGGGCTGCAGAAAATCTGCGGAACAGCCCACCACACTGCTCTGAACTTCGGGTGTCGAACTTGTTCTCTAAAGGGCACAAGAGATCAGGCCAAGACTGCAGCCAGACTGAACTTAGAACCCAGGTGCCAAGAGTAACAGGCTTCAAGCCAAGAGTCATGAAGTGCCAAGTCCAATTTCCAGTAACCTCTCCTGGAAAGCAATGTAAAAGGCACATAGATGTTTCCTTCTTCCCTTTTTCTCAGAGCTTTCCACAGCCCCCTTCTTCATGTACCTGATCTATCACAGCTGCCTTGTGTTTCCTGGCATCCCACCTGTTGGATCTCAAGATCTCAGTCCTGAGATGCTGAGCCACCGAGACCACCTTGGGGGGCTCGGGAGTCCTGGAATGTTGCCAGAAGTGTCTGGTGGCTGGACTTTAACCCTACAGGAGACGACAAGGATGAGGGCTTCACCGGGGTGAATGGTGAAGGGATTAGTTAATTAGAGGGTAAGACACAGGGTTTAGGATTTATGTACAGGGGGGTTTAGAGGAGTAAGATGGAGGAATTGGGGTGTGTCCTGTCCTTCTTCTTCTTCCTCTTCTCCTCCATCTTCTTTGGCCACGGTGGCACCTTTGGATTGGTTATTACTGAGGGTGCACCCAGCAATGAGAATAAATGGTATTGGGGAAAAATGATAAATATTGTACACGTAACAATGGGTATAAAGATACGTGGCTGCCCGGGAGGGCAGACAGTGTGCTCATGGCTGACTGCTGAGCAGATCTCTGTTCGGCTGAAACAACATCTTTTAGATAAACAATTAATAAACATAAAAACCGAAAGAAGAACTGAAGCCTCTTCTCGTCCTTCGATACGCGGGCTGCCCCAAGGCCACCAGGGGCCTTTCCAGGCCCCTCAAACAGCCGAGATAAACCGGACACCCACCCACCTGCAGGAGGAAGTAGGGCAATAAAAGGGCAGTTACAGGGTTAGCAGGTTGTCTAGTGCACTTTGTTTGTGTCCTAGTGTAGTGGCAGGTGAGTGCAATGGGAAGTAAGAGGCTGATAGGTTTGAGAAGGTGGGTGCTTTATTTATTTCCATGTGGGCAGATAAATACTAGTGCAGGGTAAGGAGTTTTCCCAATTCTGACCACGCTTTGCTTCTAAGCAGTGGGTCAGATCTGAGCTGTAATCTCCTGTAATTCCCTGGATTGTATCATATGCTCATGAAGTCTTGTTGACTTAGGGAAGGAGAAATGAGCCCACCTGGCTCATGCTGGTCTTGTGGGAAGCCACCAGTGCAGGCTGCTTCCTCTCCTTCTGGCTTCCCGGAGCAAATGTGTGTCATCTGTTTTTTCCTCATACATGTATTTCAAATGGGCATCCCACATGAATCACTAAGTTGTAGTCAAAAACCCAAGTGAACTAAAATGAAAGCAAGTTGAGAATGAATAAACATGGGTTTTGCTATAAAATACTTCTTTTAAACCCCCCTAATACCTAGAAATAGCACAGTTGGTGAGTGAGGGGAAAGAGGAACTGGCTGCAGCTGTTACATTTGGGTTTTTTCTCCATAGCCCCCTAATTGTCAAAGGAGGAAGTAATGGTTTGTCCAAACTTTTCTACCACTGCTGCTTCATTTCTTCATTGATGAGGGAAGAGGCCAGGAGAGAAGGGTTTCCCCTTGGTTTGTGGAGGGCTGGAATGGGGTAGAAAGCCCCTGGCATCCTTCTTGAGCAGGCTGTGTGGCCTCAGCCCTAGCCATTCTGTACAGTCTGCACTTGCAATTTAGAGTAGCTTGAGTTTTAACATGAGGTTTCTGCTAGAGTTTAGACTAAGGTTTTGTTGTTTTTTTTTTTTTAATTACAAAAATCTCTTGCAGAAACAGGGAGTTTAGAATGGGTAAAGAAAAGGATTTCCTGAGGAAAGAGAGAAAGAGACAATGCCAGCGATAAATCTATTCAAACCCAGGAAAATGGCAGTGATTATCAATTATTGTTTTATACAAGCTGATCTCCTGGAGTGTGGGAAAGCAGGACTTGGAGCCATGAAAGTATCTGTTTATGTGTGAGTTTGTAGTTTCTTTTAATTTTAGCTGAATGTAGAAATTTTATGAGCTTTTAGAATTTTCTGATTATGAGCATGATCGATCCAGCAGCTGGGTGAGGGATGCAATGGTTTACAAGTAAATTTCTATACAAGATTTATTTTTCATTCATATTAGAATGAGAACATGATATCCAGTCACAGAACACTTAAAACCAATAGGTGTACTTACCTTCAAGCTCTCCAAAGCCACCTACTAAGATGCAGTACCATAAAATTCTGTGTGCTACTGCTGTGGTGTTTGGTTTCGTATAGCAATTAAATTAATGCAAGAATACAGACTATGGAAAATCAAGTGGCTGATAGCTATGGGGCAAAAAAAAGAATATTAAATAGATACAAACCATCTTTTGTGGAATAAACAAAAGTATGACTGATGGAATCAGAAGTTTTGGCTATGAATGATGAACATCCTAACTGCTGTTATGAGATTTCCTTGTAATTAGTTTGTGCTTGTCTGTCCTGTTACTTCTGTTAACAACTTGTAAGAATTCCTTGGAGGTTATATTTCAAATCAGTTTACACAGATACCTAGTATTTGTTTTAATAAATGGGTGGGTTTGATGCCCATTTTTGGGCACCTTTTGCTTGCTGTGGCCCTGCATGGCTGTAGGTGGAGGTGGTAGGTGAAATTGCTGTGGAGCTTGAAATAAGAAATAAAACTGGTAGGATGCAAGCAAATTTAAGTGAAATGGATTGCTTTATTTTTCTGCTCCAATACAAGTGATATGAAACAGATTAACTTTGTAAGTAAATGGAAGCAGATCACACTTTTAAAACAAATTCTACAGGAATGCTCTGAGCTAATACTACCACCACCACCACAAAAGCATAAAAATAAAAAAGAAACAAACAAAAAAGCCCGGGATTTTTGCCTGCTTGGATGCTGGGGAGTTGTTAGTCTCACCCAACTCGCCTGTGACCACTATGTGCTACTGCATTTTGTCCAGCCTCAGGACAAGTAATGTTGATGCAGGGTATAATTTCTCCTAACTGATGGAAAAAGGGCAAGAGGGAATGCCACCTTCCTGCTTGCCTCTCACTTAGATAAAACTGGTTCTAGGTTATGTGTGTCTATAAAGCAAATGTAGCCTGCACCTCTCAGCTTTGGGATCCTTTGACCCTGACATTAGCCAGTTTGGGTTAAGATTTTAACTCATGTAAGCGTACTTTTAAACAGTTGATATAGATAAATAAAGGTTCTTCAGGCTGCATAAAATGTCCATGCTTCTGTTTTGGTATGCCAGGCTATTTCAGGGGTATATTGTGTTGGTATTTTTCTCTGCCTAGACACTGGGTTTCTGGTTCTAAGAGAGCAGTGTGATGCAAGCAAATTTTCCCCAACAGCTCTGGCTGAAGATGTGACTTTGAAAAATAGCTGAAATGTTTTTCTTAGATATTTTACAGGCACTGGCTGAAATACGAAGAATATTCTTCTTCTGAAACCAGTGCTGGCAGAGGTATGGGACTAAGTTTGTTCAGTGAAAAGAAATTTTGTTTTGGTTATAGACCTTTGAAAGCATCACTCATCAATTCTCTGCTGTGTGACCCTGGGGGAATGATTCATTGAATCACCACACCAGTAAATTTTCTTATTAAATCAGACCTGGAAGAAAATATAACCCATTGTTTTTCATACAGTTTTCAGCACTGAGCCCCTGGAAATCAGCTGAAACAAAAGAATTGCACTAATTGATTGCATTTTTCTCTTTTATAAATGAGACTATCAAGCCAGACAGATAGATACAAATCAAGTGTATTTTTGTTTTCACTCTCAGTACACCAGAAATTGCTCATGTTTTTGGAAACCATACAAATGGCCTTCTCATAGCTCTGCCGCCTTCATCTTTGGACATATAAAGCTATGGTAAAAGGAGCACTGAATACTAGTTCAACTCTTTGTGGATGGGCTCTGTTGTAGTCTGCTCAACTTTGAGAAAAGCTACCTGAAATTTCTGGGAAGCCTGAGAGGATCCTGAGTCTAGGATCCCTATACAGTACAGAGTTTTAAATTCCCTAATGTGTCAGAAGCTGTGGTCCTTAAACACCCTAAGGAAACAGCAGCTTTGCCTAGTAAATGAGCACATGAAATTGTACATGACAGGCTAGGATGAAATCCTTGCAGAAAAAAAACCAAACCCTACACTTCTTATTAAAAAAAAAAAAAGGGCAAAAAAAATCCCAATTTTTTTTTCCCCAGTCAGAATATTCTAGTTGATATTATCCTTTAGGTAACTTACAGAAGGCCTAGGTCTCATCCTAAACACCCAGGTTTATATTTCAGTTTAAATAAATCAATTTGCCTTAAGCCTTCCTTGTTTACAGGAATGTAGCTACTTTCATAAAGGAGATTGCTTGTAAGTTGTGGCAAAGCACTGACACCTGCTGGTATCTCCACACTGCTCGCCTGATGGAGAATCATCTACTCTTGTTTGTGACTCCTTTGTGTCAGATCCAAGGGCCCCAGTGTTGTCACCCAGCATGGTGTCTGGTAAGCCTCAGAGGCAGTGACCCACAGGCTGCACTTCCCTGCCCACCATCCCTTTCCTGCCAAAGAGAAAGGGAGCAGGGTCTGTCGGGGCCTGTGTCCCCTTATTTCTTCCCTCTCCATTAGATACCTCCATACATACCAAGAAGATTGCAAATTCACACCTTGAGAGTTGCAAATACTTTCAATAGCTCGTAGCAGAGACTGGTGGGATGGGATGAACAAGGGACATCACCAGGCTTTGCTGATGGAGAGAAAGAAAATCAATGAAAGTACAAAGTGGCCCTTGTTCTGTTTCACCTCTGGCAACCAGTGTTGATGAATGATTGATAATGGTGCTGCTGACTGGCCACTGAAGAGCACTCTGAAAAAAGAAGACAAAATCTTCTGTAGTCCCCTTAGGCATCCCAGCTGCCCTCTGAGGGAAGCGGGGAAAGGGATGAGCTTTCCTGGGCAATTGCTTTGCCCCACAGTGATCTTCCCCCTGCTCTTCTGGGCTGAAATCTGCCACCTGCTGCTCTGTGGAGGCTGCCAGCGAGTGGAACCAGCAAAGGTTAAGTGGAGCACCCTTTCTTCACCCCAGCTTAACTCTGGAGCACCTCTGTCCACCACCTTTCCTAGCAAACTGAGAGACACGGATATTATGTTCACTGAAATATACAACTTGGTGACTGGAAGAGTAGCTAGTGAGCTGGGCATGAGTCAGCAGCAGCCAAATTGGGTAAGGTTTGGTCACAAAGAGTACAGGGCACTTTGCTCGCAAGCCATATGATCTATCTGTATATTCACTTTCTTTGTTGTCTTACTGAACTCCTCAGCACAGGGGATGGAGCAGGTTTGCATTTCCAGTGTACATGTCCAGGTAGCACACACTTCTTTGGGGGGAGGCTGGAGCAGGGCATATCCCTCTGCAGCCCTTTGTGCTGCCTCTTGGCTGCAGGGAGCCCTAGGCTGCTCTGCCTCCCCACAGCCCAGCAGGTGCTAGCAAGAGGGAAGCAGGGGTGCTCTCGGGGCTGAGAGCTATTTTTGCTGGGTGGTTGCTGTGCTTGCTAAAGAGCCTGCCTGCCCTCTGTTCCCATGCTGCCTTCCTCTTCTCCATGGAATTGTACAGCAAAGCATAATGATGTGACACACCTGTGACAACAGGGTGTCTGAGGTCTGCTGGTGTGCCCCATGACCCCGTGGTGAAGTTACTTATTCCAGTGCTCCACAAGATGAGAACTATGTGACTGGATGTTTCAAGGCACTATGGCCTTCCCTAAGCCAATGGCTTTTCCTCCTGCCTGGATTTGGGGGTTTGCTTTGTTCCTAGCTTTGAAGGAACCCATCCAATCTGATATCATCATTGTAGCCGCACTTGGGGGAGAGGCAAATTTCCATTGTAACTTCTTGCCCTCAATGGATGTTTTGCAAGCTACTTGGCAGAAGAGAAATGGGGCTTCCTTCCATAACATGGCCACCTACAGCCCAATACATGGGCTGAGGCTGATAAGGTCATTTCAGAAGAAGGTGTCTTTCACTAGAGCAACCCCAAAGGCCTCAGCTATCATCCTCCAAAATCTCACACTTGAGGATGACTCTTATTACAGATGCATTTTCAATGTGTTCCGTCATGGCTCCCTCAGCAAAGACATACACCTCAACATCCAAAGTAAGTTTTCCACTAACACTTTCTCTCTTTCTGGCATTCAGTTTGGGTCTGATGTACTCAGAAGGTACATCACCACACTATCCACCACATGGAGATTTTCAATGCAGCAGCATCTCCTTGGTAGATAGTGTCCAGATTGCCATACCAGAATTTTTACCTAACTGTCCTTTTGATTGAACAGTATATAATAGAAATATTTATCAGTTGACCTTATAAAAACTGTAGAATTACTGTACCGTGTGTGGTTTTCACCATATTGTGTACCTGAAGGCTTTCAAATAAAGATTGGTTTTTATATTCACTTTAACTTTTTTTTGGAAGATCCTTTCTATTTTCTAGGCATCACTTTTCTTGGGGTAAGTGAAGGCCTTGTACAGAGCGAGAAACCCACCCAGCTTTGACTGTAAACTCACCAGAGTACAAAAAGCATCTTCTCTTTTTGCTACCAGCAATCTCTGAGCTCAGAGTGGAATTCTGTTCCCTCTTTCCCGTTGAGGGTCTCCTCACAGCAGTGTGCTCAGCAACAAGAAAGCCTGCCCCCAGCATCACATGGCTGGATGACAGAGCCCTGGAAGAGAGGCCTCAAATACACCACATCCAGAACATCAACGGAACAGTAACAGTGGCGAGCAGACTTACCTTCTCTGCCAGCCACCTCCATGCCTTGTTCTGCCTCCTCGACCACCCACAAGAAGAAAAATAAAGGCACTCCACCTGGAAAAAGGAAGGGAGGGTGGGCTGCAGTTGTGTGGAGATGTGTAACACATGAGGAGCTCTTAGGGAAGCATGTAAAATTGTGAGAGGGCAGTTTGTACTTACACAGGTCTTGCTAGACAGCATTCTGTGAGGTCAGATCTCATGTTGGATGAAGATTTCAGGATTTGAAACCTTCCAGAAGATCCTTCCCTGTGGTACCTTTGTGTGTATGGGGGGGAATATATAGATGGAATATGTATGCATATATAGATGGAATAAATATCTACATTTGTGCATACACAGTATGTCTACACTTCTACAGAACAATTTATGTAGAGCAGCAGTACACACATCTGGGGGATACCAAACAGAGCAGGCTCCTGGCAGACAAATGCTGCAGAAAAACGTTTCACATAGAATATCTCGCTGGAGGATATGTGTCAGGAAGATTGGGACACCTCTCTTGTGATAAACCATATTTCAGAAAAACAAACACAAATAGATCAAAAGTTCTGCCTTTTGACACAACCTGATACCAGAGAAGTATGAGACATTATCAATATTTATTTAAAATCATTAAATAATCCTTCATCTTTGGTGCAGTTATATTGCTATGTCACAGAGAATGAAGGCCTTTGTCGGGGATGAGCCATTTGTCGGTGAGGGGAGACTCAGACACTCAATATGAGTGATAAGCAAATTCCATTTATTGAAAAGAGCATCAGACACTTATACAGCAAATAATAAGCTTATGAATATTCTGTAAGCCAAGCAATCTATTGGTTAAACTATACCATCAACTCTCCCTCATTCCTTAGGGGTTACATCTCTCTTTTCTCATGTCTCTTTCACTGTTTGTTATCCTACCACAGCTAGGCCCCAAGGACATGCTATCTTGCAGGTGCCGGACTTGGAATTAGCCACAGCTTTGTAATTTTCCTTTCTCTAGCAGCTAAATTCCCAACACTGCTACACTGTTCCTTTCTCTCCTTCAAAGAATAAATGAGCACAAAATTCTGAATGCTGCAGTCTTGGCCCAAGATCCTGGAAGAGGACAGCAGAAACATACTGGCATCACTTCATGTTCTGTGTGAACTTACTTATTTCTTTTTGTAGATGTTCAGAAGAACAGTCATCATCACATTGATATTAACAGCTGCATTGTTCTTACTGGTCTTGATATATTGTGTCACGAGACTAAATAACTGCAGAAGGAACAAGCAATAATAGTTTCCCTTTTCTTGTAAATGAAGTGCCTTGCCTCTGTTCACCTTGCAATTTGCCTTTCTCTTTCTTCTTGGTATTTTTATATATCTCTTCTGGAAACCCACCCAGCTAGTAACAGCATCTTTAAAATAGCACAATTCACTCTAAATGACAAGGAGTATACTAAGCATCCTGTGACTAATTGATGGTGCGTTTTTTTTTTTCCCAGGCAGAAGACACACGGTACACCCAGAACTCCTGGAAAGACAGGCTTACAGCAAGACCTAGGTGAGAGAGCCTCTCTGAGCCTGTACACATCAAAAGACCAACACATTCCTTACCCAAAGGAGGTAACACAAACACCCAAGGCTTCTAGTGATTATTCACATCCTCCATTAGGGGTCTCTGTCCTGTCGTGTTTTTGCTGCATGGGACAGCCACACTGGGTGGATGACACAACATGTGTCCCATGTGTCCCTCTAGCAACGATCAGGAAAAACTGCCTGATGTTTTGCACTGCTGTCCTGGAGGGTGCAGCAGAATAGTTAGTCAAAGTTATTTAGGTGCAAAGGCATGGAAGAGGCACTGGAAATGTCCAGGAGGACAGCTGAGATGTCCCTTCTGGACAAGGCCAGGGAGCCCTACAGAGCTCAGGTGCTGTAAAGAACAGCTTCACACAGAAGTTTCCTCACAAGGGTCTGCCCCGCCCTCCTCCTGGTGCAGACTCAAAGGTGCTTCAGAGGGCTGCTGGCATCCAGAGACAAAACAAGTAATTGGCCACAAAGAGGAATCTCTCCCACTAGACACTCTGCTCAGACCTCCCGTATGTTCCCTGTTTTCCGTGTAAGCTCGTGGTGCTCCCGAGCTGTAACTGGGAATCTGTTGTGGTTTGACACTTGCCAAATGCCAGGCTTATCCTCTCATGCTACAGTTGGGCAAAGGTGAGGGAAAAAAATGAACAAAGGTCCCATGAGTCAATATAAGGACTGGGAGAAAACGGGTTCAAGTTAAAAAGTATAAGGTAAATTTATTATTAACAGAGTCAGAGAAGGATAATGAGAAGTAAAATAAGCCTTTGTAAAAGCCTACCTTTTCCCCCTCCAGCCCCTCCCTCTTTCCCACTGACAGCGCAGGGAAACAGGGTCATGGGAGTTTTGGTTTGTCATCTAAGCTCTTTTTCTGTTTGCTCAGGGAGATCTATGCCATGGGATCTCTCCCATGGGGGACAGTTCTCCGGGAATTTCTCCATCATGGTTGCAATCTCACAAGCAGAAGTCCAGCCAAAACTGCTGCAATGTGAGTCCTTCCCACAGGAAGGACTGTGAAAAATGTCTATTTTATGATTGGCTTTTCACAAATACTAAAATGAATATTATATGTGTTATGTTAGAAAGTAATGCCGTAATTTTCTTAAGTAGTGTGTTAAATATAGTTTTAGGTTAAAACATAATGTTAAAATAGAAACTATGCTATGTAAGATACTTTTTTAAAGAGAGTACTCACACCAAGGTAGCAGCCACAGGACACCTAAATCTTTCAGAGAAAAAGAATTTATTGAGTTCTTATCAAGTTCTTCCTGCCTTGCTCAGCCCTGAAGATGCTGTTAGGATTCAGAGGAAGAAGCTGACACTGACCAAACAGAATCCTTTATTTCAATGGAATTTATGCATCCTGTATGAGATGTATGAATATGCAACAGGCGATTGCCTTTAAGGGTTAATCCTCTGTTAATGTGTGTCTTTTTTTGGTTTTATTTTGCCCAGAAAGAGGTACCCAGACTGTCTGTAACTCTTTGTTTTTATTGTCTCATATTGTCCTAAATCCTAATTGTCCAAATTTTTATTACTCTAATTATATTACTATTTTTATAACCATTTTATTACTATTAAATTTTAAAATTTTAAAAACAAGTGATTGGTGTTTTCCACTGGACAGTCCTCCCAAAACTGCTGTGGTGTGAACCACTCACCCACAGGATGCAGTACTCTAAGGATAGGCCGCTCTAGTTTGGCAACAAGAGCCCTCTTTCTCTATCTCTGGAAACAAAGGCTCTCTCTCTCCATTTAGGTTCCCACTGGATCACAGCTTCCTCTGGCATCCAACCGCTCCAGTGTGAGCACTCCTCCCACAGGCTGCGAGTGGATCTCTGCATCCATTGTGGACCCCACAGGCTGCAGGGGGACAATTTGCTTCACCATAGTCCTCGCCACGTCATGCAGAAGAATCTCGGCTCTGACAATTGGAGCACCTTCTCCCCATCTTTTTTCCACTGACTTAGTGCTGCCATGTTTTGTTCTCTCACATGTCCTCACTTTCTCCTCTTCTCTGACTGGAAAAAACACTGCTGCCAATAGGCATCATTGCCAATAAGTTCCACCAGTTCAAAGATTCCTACAGGATCCTGCAGTGCCAAGAGGTCAATTTCATCTGGGTTCCATGTCAGGGAGTCACTCACCATGTTTTCACCGTCAGCCATGCAGCTCCGCCACCATCATGCAGGCAGCAGCGGTTGCCATGGCACTGGCGCTATTTAACGCCTTTCCTCATGTGGGGTGCTGAGAAGGGGAACCTGCCATCACCACCCCTGCCCTTCTGCCCACAGTGGCTGGCTAGGGGTGGCCAGGCAGGCAAGGCTTGCTGCAGGCCGGACCGAGATGGAGACAGCTGTGGCTTTTTTATAAGGTTTCAATAAACCTTTCTAAATTTTTGGAAGTGAGTAGCATTTCTCACAGTCCCCTGGTCTGTGATTTGACAGTTATTGATAGCCAAAGAGTCAGTGGTAGATTCCTCCTTGCTCTTTTGGTACTGTTTGCCCAGTTCTTTTCAATGTTATCTTATCATACAGACATTTTTGCATTTTTACAAGTACTTTCAATGAATATTAGCCATTTCACTATGGTTAGTTAGTTACAAAAGTAAGGCATTAGTTATTATTTCACAACTACAATTACTTCCACAAAAGTTAATGTTATAATATACAGCACAAAGCCTCTATTTTAATATTTTGCAAAAGCCTAAACTATATTTTATCACACTAAAATATACAATCTACGCAGGGATTACGGCAACCATAAAAGTCTGACAAATTATACTATGTTAAAAGCAGTTAAAAAGAGTTTACAAACTCTACTATATCAAAATATTTTGTAAAAGCCAATATATAATAACGAAAGCCAACAATTACATGGTTTTTTATAACACTAGGGATATTGTGTGAGAAGTTTTGGGCTCTGGCAGAGACTTCACTGGGGGGGCGGGTCCGTCCCCCCTTTCTGCCATTTCAGCGGAGCAGAGGGAGAGGTTGCGCGGTGCGGTGGGACATTCGCGGTGCTGTAGGACAGTTGTGCATTCGGCTCAGGACATTGCTACGCTGCAATTTGGCACTACGGTTGCCTGCTTCCCCTGCTTCTTCCAGCTGCTCCTTGGCAGTGGTGATATCGAATGCTGCCCCTGAGTTTGCAAAAGGAGCAATTTCCTTCCTTCCCTCCTGGAGCGGGATGAGGGGATCATGGTATACTCTCTGTCTCGTGCCCTGCCGGCCATGGTCATAACTACACCAGAGGGGAAACACGGCACTCAACAGTTGTGAAACTTCTGTTTCTGTGGTGTAGTCTGTTCTGCTGTCTTACACAACTACACATATGCATATTTTCCAGTAAAGAACTGTTACTTCCTTTCCTATATTTTTGCCTCAAAGCCCTGTAATTTCTAAGTTACAATAATTTTGAAGGCAGGATCATCTTTGCATTCCAGTAAGGTTCCCACCTTCCTTGGCAGACATTTGTCTTTTAAACCAAGACACTGTGTCACCAGAAGCTGGGAAATAAATTCTACAAGCAGTATGCTAGGTTACATAGCCAACAATAATTAATTCCTAGTAACAACAAATCATAATATCATTATAAACATCAGTTTATTAATAATAATATAACTTGTTTGGTAACAAATTGCCCCTTTGAGACTTTAATATAATTTCTTCAAATTTTCATATCCACTTATTATATTGACCTAGTCTATAGAGCAGTATGTATTGCAACAAGTGATCAAGAGCATGAGTTAAAAATAGCACAATAAGTACAAAGAGTTGTTTTAACCATCATAAGTTGGGGAGCCACAAATCTACTTCTTGCACCTTCACACAAGTATTGATGGTTAGCAGCACTTGATACGGTCCCTTCCACTTTTCTTGGAGAGGCTCGTCAGTCCCGGTTTCGAGGTAGTCTCCTGGTTGGTATGGATGAGCTGTGATGTCCAGTGTCATGGATGCTGCCAGCACAATGTATCTGTGGAGAGAAGACAACACCTGCCTGTGGGGGCCTGAATATATGTATTGTTATGGAGAGAGTCCCTGTTAAGATCTATGTATTGTAAGATCTATGTATTAAATAAGTGGGTCCTTATGGAGAGAGTCCCTGTAAGATCTGTGTGGGTCCTAGTTACTCCAAATGAGCTACAGCTGCAAAGTCCTTAGTTGGGCAGCAGCTGTGGCTCGTGAAGGTAACTGGAATAAATAGGGGTGGGTCGAGAGCCCAGGAGGAGCTTCTGAGAGGACATGTGAGGGACTGTGCTGCAGAGAAGAACAGTTTGGTACAGCTTGGGACTTGAGAAATATGAAATATAACAAGAATACAACACCTGCCCATGGGATTGAATATATTCTATCAGACTCTGGTTTATTCTTCCTACTTTCCCACTAAACTGAGGTCTCCATGGAGTGTGCAAGTCCCACTTTACCCCTAACATTTTTGCTAGGCTTTTGCTATTTCAGCAATGATGTGGACCTCTGTCTAGTGACATTCCCATTCATACTGCAAACCTTGGGACAATTTCCTTCACCAAATCTTTACTAGCTTTGTTAGCGCACTAAGAAGAAGCTTCTGGCCATCCTGAAAAAGTATCTACCAGTACCAATAAATACCTGTGGCCCTTTTACCATGGCAGCTCAGCAAAACCTATTTGCCAATAGTCTCCTGAACAACTTCTTAACAGTCACAGGTGTGTGTGTGTAGGCTATCTAATTTGATGTGCCTTGTTCTTTAAGTGTTTGGCACTTTTTAACAATGCTTTTTATTATACCAGTCATTCTTATGTTCAAAACCTGAGGCTTCATTGCTTCTACCATAAACTCTATTCCTCAGGGAGTTACCATATGTCCTTCTCCTGAGATTTTCTTCATAAGGTGTTGGGGAATCACGATTTGTTTGCTGGATGTAATCCACCATCCTTCAGGACTCTTGTCAGTATCTAACTATTCTGCCAATTTCCCATTCTTAGCCTGGTAATCAGAAGCCTGCTTGTCCAAATGCTGTTATTTCTCAGGTAAGACCAAACAGACATCCCCCCCAGCAGCCTCCTTGGCTCCTTTGTCAGCCAGGCAATTTCCAGTATTTACTGGGGTCTTCTTGACTTATGAGCTTTACAAAGCATTGATGCCACCCCTCACGTAGCTGCACCCCCTCTAACAATCACTGTGTTATTTGTCTATGTTTCACAGGGGATGCCTGGGAAATTAACAGCCCTCTCTTTCCAAATAGTTCCATGGGCATGGACCACACCAAAAGCAAATTTTAAGGCTGTCCATGTATTTACAATCATATTCTGTGAGAGCTCCAATGGTTTTGTCAATGAAATCAGTTCTGCTTTCTGAGCCAATGTGTTAGGGGTTTTAGCTTTGGCTTCTATTAACTCATGCTGAGTTATGACTGAGTAACTTGGCTTTTCGGATTACGTTTTACAAAAAGCTGCTCCCGTCCACAAGGAGTTCCCAATCCATGTCTTTCAAGTTCTTTATGTCATCTCAACAACAGTACACCTGTTCAGTGCTCTGCAAACAATCATGGGCCAGATCTTTTCATAATGGGTTAGCTGTTAAGAACACTGCTGGATTCAAGTTAGTGACTTTTAACTCCAGGTTAGTTACTTTTAACTCCATGTCATCTTGTTCTAGTGTTCTAGCAGTACTGTCTGGTATGTTAACATTCTGCTTGGTGATGACTAGTGTCCTTCTTTTTGTTCCAACACTACTACAACACTACAACTGTACGGGGCACAAAACCAGTCAGTTGCTGCCCCATGGTTATTTTATTTTTTTTTCCTTCTTGGATTTGGAGGACAGCTGCCGCTACTGTCGTGAGGCAGGGTGAGCATCCTTTGTTCTTCTAGGATGCCAGTTGTTGTGTCAATACCCCCAATGCCAAATGGAATTTTTCCTGCATAAATAGTTCAAAAGGTTTACCAAGTCCAGTAATCCCAGTGCAGGAGCAGCCAAGAGAGCATGCTTCATTTACTGAAAGGCTTTGCTGCATTCAGGCTCAGTTCTTTTTTAGAAAGGTGCTCAGCATTTTAACAGATAGCCTCCTTTCTTTCCTGGTGTTGACTCCTTTGCCCATGTGGAACAGTGAATCTCCTAAACTGCAAGTACCCTGCTAGTTACAAGGTGAAACCTTTCCACAGAACAGTTCACCTGAGCTGGCACAGGCCTCTGCAGTGCTGCACCAATCCCTCGGCCACAGGACAAACCCAACCAGCTCATACTAACAGAGGAGCCTGCATCCAGAAACTTGATTTTTTTCTTTTTCAAGCATAATTTGTGCATTTAATTTAGTCAACACGTCTCTTTCTAGTATTGGTATGGGACATTCAGGTATATAGGGAAATTGATAGGCTAACATCAATTTATCAATTCCAAATTTTAATGCTCAAAGAAAGGCCAATTTTCCCTCTGCTCTGTCACACCAACATGAATTGTTCTGACTAAATTTTCCTTTAGGCATATTTAAGACTGAGTACGCCACTCCAGTGTCTACTAAGAAATTCCATTTGTCATTCCCAGTGTTAATGTAATCCCCACAGGTTTAGCTGGGGATGACATCTCCAGTCGCCATCACACATCTTCTACCAGTGGGAGCCTTTCAGCCTGATCAGGAGATTTGGGTGAAGTCCAGGGTCCACCAGCTTGTGTTTGTCCCTTTCTCCACAGATTTTCCCATGGCCCTTCTCTAAACGAAATAGCACACAGACCTCTGTACAACTATGCCTGTAATTCCTTCTCTGCCTCTCTCCCATGGTGCCACCATCTCCCCACCCCCCACCCCGCAATTGGGCTTTGTTCTGCTAACACAGCTTTTGCTCCTAATTATTGTACATGTTCCATGCTGCTTCTAACAACTTACTCAGATCCCTAGGAATAACATATCCAATCACCACATAGCTTCACAACTTTCTCTGGGTCTTCCCTACAAGTTTGTGCTATAGGACTAAACCCTTCATGAGTTTCCAAACCCAAAATCCTTTTGTCTACCCCTCCATCATTTATCATTATATTAACTTGATCATTTATGCCTCTTCTGCCTGCAGCTGGAGGAAAGTCCCCAGCTGCAACCTTATCTATTCACTCAGCCCCTCTTGTCCCCTTGTGGCCTGTCATGGGTCCTCATGGCCCTTCTCTTCCGCAACCATACTTTATACAGCAGCAGCCATATAAAAAACATATTGTATTGGAAAAAGCATTTCCCAATACTACAAGCCTAGGCTCTTTTCTTGCTTTTTCTCTAAAGCTAAAATCACTTAAGGACTCCTTAATAACAGGTATAATAACACTGTGTGTGTGCGCGTGTGTGTGTGTGTGTGTGTGTGTGTGTGTGCGTGTGTGTGTGTGTATGTGCGTGTGCGCACGTAAAACAAATCTACATACAACACCTTAACAATTATGCATTCCTCAACTCCTATCACCTGCTGCAGCAGGAATTGTACTACCTGTGTGCCCCCCTACCACTCTTGTCTGCCCTGTTATGGAGTAAAACTTTCACTACCATGGTCACTTTCTTCTTCTTCCAATTCCACACCCACTCCATGCCTTTGTCTCTCCTTTGTGCTCCTATTCCTCAATCCAGTCTCCCTTTATACATGGATAAATTGACACTGAAATGGACTCCAGAAATTTTTTGTGCTCTTATCCCCACCCACATGGCTAACTGTCCCTACTGAGAAATCTTGTGCAGTTTGCACTGGAGAAATTGGCAGGACCTCAAACTTTAAACAATTTACACTTTCCTTGTTTAATAGAAGTAAGCTTGAGAGAGAGAAATGTGGTTTGATTATGATCATGTGGTCGAATCACCAGCAAAATGACAGCTGGTGGCAGATCCTCTGAACCAGGTTAGGCTCCTATTAGACCCATATGAGCATTTGCAACTTGAAGATGCACTGCCTGAGCATGATGATTAAGGGGGATATGTTAATTGATGTGAGCAGAGCCAGAAGGGAGTATATCAGAACATCAGCAGTGCAAATGCTCTGATATACACTTCCACAAGACAGTACATCCTGTAAAACCTACTGTGTTTGGTTTTACTGGAATCTGTGTCACTGACTCCATTCACCCTTTATTTTCCTTTTCCCTGTTAAATAATGACAACTTGGATCTGCTGTATCATATATTTGCCTGAAGTCTGTACAGGTTTCGCTGGATAGTGGTTCAAATGGCTCTGCTTATAAGAGGTCAGTAGTCCAGAAGTCAAGGGAAGAATGACAAAATATATTAATTGTGGAATGCGTCCACCCAGAAGGCAGAGGAAAGAATGAAGAATAAATCTCATTCGTGACTGAAGGAATTTTAAATTGCCACTTCCACCAGCATACAGGGTGTATTACAGCTAAATAAATAACAAAAAATGAGCAAAGACCTCTTTGAATTTTTGGACAAGAGCTCTCTACTTACTGTCTTTCTCACTAACTTCAAAGGATTTATAATAGCAGAGAGTCCATGTCACCTTGGCTACCACCAGCTCCAGGTACAGGTTCTTTGTACGTAACGTACAAAAACCTTGTAAAGCTTGGTAAAGATTGCTGAGCTGAGTCAGGTTCCTGTAAAAAGAAACAGTTGACATTAGAACACAGAATAAGGCAGAAGGGGATTTATGTGCCTTGTTCTTCTCTAAATGTAATTTGAATCTTCCACTATTGCTGGTTTATCTGGAGTATTTTTCATTTCCTTCTGTCTGCCCTGAGGTTACCTCTTTGCTTACGATTTCAGGATCATCCTTTCCTTGCTCAACTTTAATTTATTCCCTCTCTTCCAAAGGAGCAGCCCCCTTGTTTTCTGGACCCTTTCATCATTTTTTTCTTTCTTCTCTACGTTTCTCCAGCCCACTGAACAAATAATAACATTTGCCTAAACACAGACATTTTCCACTTCAACAGATGTGAGTTACTATAATATATCATTCAAATTCCCCCAAAGTCCCCTTTATTTACATTAAGTAAGAGCAGGAAGATATCACTGGGATTTCCCTCCTTTTGTTGCTTTGATGGAACAGGGCACTTCTGGACAAATTTATTTTAAGCTGTGCAATGCGCAGTTAACTGGACTTCCCTCTAAAATCCCCTCAGCTATAGTGAAGGCACATGAGCACAGGAAACTTGCTAATGCATTTTTCTCATTAAAACAAAAAGACTGCGAAGTGTGTAGATATATCAGTCTCAAACAACTGCTTTAGTTGCTGGCCTGTTTTAGAGAGACCAAAAAGGGCAAGGCTGGCGGAGTGAAATTTAAGTGATTTAAGACATAGTGATTTATCCTTGGAGGTAGAAAGAAAGGTAGAAATAAAGGTAGTGGTAAAGTTGAAATTTTGTTGAAAAGCCAAGGGGCCTTGGTTAGTTAGTTGGCAGAGGGAAAAGGTTGCACTAAATCCAGCACAGTTGTGGGGAAGCTGTCTCCAAGTACAGCTCTATGCATCTGGAAGAAACACTGCCCTGATCTCCAGACCCCAGCCAAAAGCTGGGCCAAATCTGTTGGGGACAGCAGAAGCCTTCTATTTCTATGGGTCAAAAGGCACTCCTTTGTGCACCAAGGTACTGAGAGCAGCAGGACAGGTGAGGTTAATACATGGTGAGCCCAGGGTGACCCAGGAAAGCTGCAAACATCACCTTCTTCCTTAAGACAGTTTAGTAGCATTGCTTGTAATATTCACACAGATCTGTCTTAAATAAGAATGAGTTTCTAGGTTTATGTAAGCATCTTTGTCCATTAACTTTGATAAGAGGCTGAAACTGTGGTGTTTGATTTTTCCTGTGAGCAATGATGGCTTAAAATAGTCTGGCAAGATAAATATTGCAAGTGGTGCGAACAGTGTATGAACGTGTGCATGTGTATGAAAGCATCTGAAGAGCAGGCACTGAATGTCCTGTATTGATCACTAAGAATGCTGTTTCTAATTAATCAGATTGAGAAATGCGTTGTTTCTGCCAAGCCTGCAACAAGGCCTGATAAGTTAACCCTGTTGTAGTTTTATCAACGGAAGATCCTAATCTAACAACACAAAAATAGCGCAGAGATTGCCGACTGTCACTCCTGCTGCGCCTTTGCCTCCCCACCCAACAGGAAGGTAGCAGCGAAAGCAAAAGACCACTCCCAGTTACATATGCGATATAGCCTAAAATAATTTGTTACTGGGCTGTTATGAATACCCTTGAGGGAAAGGTTAGCGCTGGATGGGACACCAGCTCAGCTCTGGAACAAGAACCGCGATGCGGTCTGGGAGCTTCCGCCTCCACGGGATTTATGTTATCTTTCTCCGTGTTTCCACGTACTTGGCTGTGAGCAGCCATGTCTGTTGCTGCCTTCCCCGGACGCATTCCCACCTCCGAGGAGGGTTTCGGGCGGAGATGAGCAGTGGGTGCCGGGTGCGCGTCAGCCTGACAGCGCCGGCGGGAGGGGGACCCCGCCGTGGGGACGAAAGGCCGGAGGCACCGCCCGCGTGCCGCGTCTCCTTCCTCCGTCCTCCCTTCCTACCCGGGAGGGGTCTCCAGCAGCTGCCTTCGAAAACCTCTGTGATGCCAACAGGGGGCAAGTTTCTTTGAAGTTAAGGGAGACTCCCAGACAGTAGTGGGGGGCGGTTTGTCCAGGGAGCGGCACAGACCGTGGCTCAGGAGCCCTCCGAGGTGCGGTTTTGGGAGATGCAGTAAAGGATTTGCGCTTTACTTGCCCCAGTCTTTAACGCTTTTTTTTTTTGCTTTTTTTTTTCTTTTCTCTTTTTCTTCTTTTTCTGTTCGTTTTCGTTTTTGTTTTCTCACTCTCTGCAGCACTCGTGACTGGAGTTGTGACCTAAAGGGACTTCTTTCTGTGCGTGGTATAGCTACACGGTATAGCCTCGTTCCTCACTGTGTGAATTCTTGTTGCTACCCCAGGTGTGTGCAATGGTGCATTAAGGGCTTTAATGAGTACTAAAGCAGTGAAGCAAAGGATTGTTATTGGAAACTCTGCTTGCCTGCCGGCGTGGTACATCTTCCCGTGCTTTATAAACAGCTCTGTGACTCGCTAGTTTCTGCTTGCTCTGCTGGCTCTTGATTTCTGCATGCTTAGGGGAATATTTGAATTTCTTACAGCCGTGCTCAAATATCTGATTACACAAACTTTTTTCATTGGGCTCGTTGCTGATATGTTCTTGTTTCGTGATTCTGCATGTAACATCTTGGTCTCTATTTGTTCTTGGTAACTGGAGAGTTATATCAGGAGTTGTTTTAGCATAGTGTGTTTAAAATTTAAATGCAGGCTACTGGTTGTGGGTGTACGCAGTATGTACACAAGTTCTTGGCAATTTGTTTTTAAATACTTTTTTCTTTGTCTTATTTATTGATTCTTTGTCTTATTTATTTATTTATTTACCAGCCCTTCTTTTTAAATCTGTATAATATAGAAAATGCTTTTCAGCTGACTGTCTCTTTTATTTTTTGAATGTTGTGAAAATCTTTAAAAGGTTGGGCTTTGCTTAAATTCTTGACAGAAGATTGTCCCAGGATGCTTCAGCTAGTTTTGCAGGCATTGACAAAAGAAACTCAGGAATGGGTAGAGTGTGTTACAGAAGTATTTTTTGCAAAATTGTGTTTCCTCTTGAATATAACACCAACTTCAGTTCCAGGCAGGTCTACAATTCAGTTGAAGGAAACAGGGCAATAAAACTTGTCAAGTCTTGCTGTCTGACCCTTATATTCTTTTTCACGTGAAAAATCTACTGTTAATTCTTGCACCCTGAATGTACAATATCAGCAGAGGATGATCTGTCATCTCTGTTTTTCTTTAGGTGAAGCAGATTTTCTCTTCCAAAATGACTATACAAGCTCTGGTTTTGTGTTTGGCATATTCTGGGCTTGGAAAGGCAAATGGTAAGTTGAATTTCCTGAAATCTGCTTGAAATTGTTTGGGGAACCGGCTTCAGGTTTCTGAGGCTTCAGCAGAGTAAGAGACAAAACTAGGTGAAATACAGATTGCTGGTTCTGCTTGACTTACTTTCTTACATAGATGAGACAGAGACATGGAGCTGGTAGTTGTGACACAAATCCTCCTGGAGCAGCATTTAGAGATGGGAAGGACAAGAAACATCCCATATCGACAGTGACACTGGACACCATTGTTAACCTGAGTTGACAGCTTCCAAGAGTGGGGCATCCGAAAATGACTTCCTTCCCTTCATCTCAAATGCACTGTGAACTCTGAAACTACAGTTCAGAAAGCCTTTTAAAGGCATTATGCTGTTTACTTCTCTGATAATGGCTTGTTGCATGCTTCACTTATGCATTCAATCTTCCTCTAGCTCTTAGGAAACAAAAATTGAGTATTTGCTGAGAATAGGAAGTCATGAGCTGATTTAGTAAAACTTACGAGGGAAGTCTGCAGATATTGGTACAGAAATGGGTATGTCTTTTTGTCTTTTAAGCAGCTTAGAAGAAAGCTAAAGTCTCAGCCAATGCAAATCAACATAACTTCATTGATTACTAGGAGTATGCAGGAGATGGACTTTTTTGTAGGGGAAAGCCACAGAAACAATATGTAACTGAAGGAGTTGTGTCTGTGGGTAATCCAGGCCTTAGAATCAACATTAGGCTTCTGAATGTGTGATATCTGCCCATTTCATTAACTATTTACTGTCATTGCAGTGGTTCCGCAGGCTGGATACACAGCAGTGAGGATGGGTGACAGTGTGACTCTGAGTTGTGCCCTGACAAAACCCATGGATGTTCTGCAAGTGACATGGCAAAAGGACTCAGAAGAATTACATGATAATATAGCTACATACAGTGAAACGAACGGATTAAGGATTCAGAAGCCCTATAAAGACAGAATGAATTTCACAAGTTTGGAACTCAACAAGACAAGCATAACTTTTTGGGACACTAGAATGGATGATTCAGGATGTTACAAGTGTCTCTTCAATGTTTTCCCTTCTGGTCCTCTCTCAGGAAATACCTGCCTGAGTGTTTTTGGTGAGGTTCTCTGCAGGGATATGTCTCTACTGAAATAAGAGGTGTTTTCTTACCCACAGTATTTCCTTGAGCAGATTCATGAATTGCAGTGATGGGAGCATCCTCTGGTGGAACATGATGTAGAAACAGAGCACTACTGCCGTGAGCAAAATTCTGTGGGTCATATTCAAGATTATTGTGGTCATTTTGGCTCTTGTTTGTTACTCCTTGAGTAGCAGCTGAAAAACAAGGAGTGGAATCTTTCCAAGTCCTTGATCAGTCCCATCTGGAACTTGGGCAAACCAACATTGCCCATTGGAGTTTCCTTTTGGTGCACAGTACAACTCCAGTGCTGTCAGCTGCTCTCCCAAACCCTACCATTGATAGGGAATTAGCAGATAGGACCCATAAATTATTTTACTTAACAGATTATTTTAATACTTGGATTTCAGACTGAGTGAAATCTTTGGGGTATACTACTTCACTGTTGAGGAAGGAGTATTGAGTCATGGAGGGGATCTTACCCAAGGAACTCTTCTTGCATTCCTTGACATTTGGCTCAGTGTGAATCCAGTAAGCTTTGCTCTAATTTGTAATGGTTAGCCTGCTACTACTGCTTACGACCAGGTGCTCACTGTGGTGGTGACTTGTCTCATTTGTGTGTTGGAAGGTCTCAATGCATCTGTCCATCACAACATTTCTGAAGATCATCTGATAGTCATTTGTAATGCTAATGGCCTTCCAGAGCCCACCATCACCTGGAACAACCTGTTCAACTCTACTCCCACACAGAAGACAGTCAAGCACAAAAATGGGATTGTGTCCATCACCAGTACACTGGAAATCTACCATATTCAGAGCATCAATGCACAGGATTTGACCTGCAAAGTAAGCAACACAAATGAAACATTTGAAATACCTGTGAAAATAAAAGGAGGTAGGTGAGAAGTACAGGCAACTTGTTAGCATTCTCTTGGCTTCCATGTTTTGCAGTAGCATATTTGGATAGGAATCTTCTGGAAAGTAGAGGGAATGAGATGTTTATATGTCAGGAAATCCTATTTGCATCCACTGTTGTCTTTGAGGTAGTAACATATTGGAGTCCTATCCAAGAAGGGAAAAAAGCCAGACTAATCAGCTGGGGTGATACAGGGTTTAGAGGCACCATGCATTGTACAGCAAGTTGAACTTAGATTTCCACGTAGGCCTTCATAATTTTTAACAGCTTAAAAATAAATATATGTCAGCTGATATCCATGAGTAGAATGATGAGTAGAAACTCTATGGGTTGTTGATCAAGTCAGAAATTTTGAAATTCATAGCAAACTGTCTCTGAATCAAATGTTCAGTTCAACTTACTGCATGTTTTGTTGTATATAATCTGTACATGATGTTTTGGTTTCTCTGATTTTTTGCCAAGGCGCATGTCCACTGCAGTAATGGTCAGAGAGGAACAGTACTTTCAGGCATACAGGGAGGGGGTCAGTTGAAGACACTTATGTTTGGTTTATACAGAAATCTTAGATATATTAATGTAACATCTGAATATCTTATAGTGTTAATTTATTTCTTTTTCCAACATTCTGTTCTGCTGGAAAGACTTTAACCCTGTTTCTGCAGATAAGAAATAGAAACATTAAAAGCTGAAGAAACATTTTTACTTAATACAGGAGCATTGACTTGAGTGATTTAAAATTCACGTCTCTGTATATAGAGCCTTAAATTGAAGACCACTTGTAGATTAGCAAGACCAGAAAAGCAGCTTGTAGCTGTGGGTTGATTCTGAAATTACACGCTCAAGAAGTGATTGTTACAGGAATAGTAGTAAAGAGCAGGATCTGATTTTTAATATCTGCTCTCTAAACATTCAAAAGCAATTTAGTTCTTAATTCTGAATTACATTACAATTCTGAAAAAACATAGTAATCTTTTTGTCCTGCCCCCAGTATTCTTTTGTTTTGGTCTTCTAAAAAGCAAATGCATATCTCAGAAAGCAGAAAACTAAGACTGTTGTTATTTCTTGTTAAGTGGATAAAAAATCAGCTAAGAGCTTTTTGTTTTAACAGTCTTATATTTTAGAGGACAAGAAGTTCAAACGAATAGTTCAACATAAATTTGTTAAAATGCATAATCGTTTTAGCTCAAGTCAAATAAATTTCAAGTCATACCATTTTCCAGCTAATGTCAGTGAACATTGAGATGAGCCTTTTGATTAATAGCAGTCAAATGAAGTGGTAATATCTAACCAGGGAGGAACATTTACAGTCAGCTGTTGGGTAGAGCTATTTGCAGGCAGCAAAACATAGCCGGTCTTATTTTCTTAAAATTATTATTGCCTTTTCAACAGTGTTTAAAAGTAAAAAGTGTTTTAAAGTAAAAATAATAAAATTCTGGGTGAAACAAAAAAAACTCTTCTGAAAGAGTTAAGACTTTGTATGAAGTTCTGCTTGTGTGTGTATGCCAACCACTGTATCAGGTATAGGAATGGCAGTATTCTTTGCCATGAGCACATATTTTCTTCAAATTTTCTGTGGAAAAGTAGCTTTGTTTTTGAAGACACATGGGTTTATTTTCTCTTTTGAGCAATTGCTGCTTTCATTTATCCTAGCAGTACCTTTAACAATGCTATGAACCACTGTCATTAATCAGACATCCTCGTGGCTTGTTTTGCTTTTTTTCACAATGAGATTAATTTGCTGTGGATGTTTTGTTGTTTTGTTTTCACAGAAGAGGGATCATCATTGCTTTGGCTGGTGATTATTGTGGTGCTTTTAGTAGTCATGATAGTTCTGATTCTGTTCTGGAGGAAGATCCTATGCAGGAGGAGTTGAAGTGGTGAGTCACCAATGTGTGGAAACTTGTGGTTTTCCTAGAGCCCGTAATAAGGTCTGATCATCTGCAGAGAAGAACAAGACTTTGTTGGGATACCATTTGGGGGTTTGAGAGTGTCATACTGGACAACTTAGTAATAATAAATAATAATAGTAAACTTATTAATAATAAACAATAATAGTAATATGTTTACAGTTTTCAAGGTTGCCTCAGTTGCATGTAAATTTAACAGCTGTTTTCCCACTGCCAAGGGACAATCCAAGACTGAGAATTGTGAGGGAAGGATCCAAGCAGAGCATGCTGCACTTTCTTTGTTTGGAAGTAGCAGTCCCAGCAGAAGTAATTCACTCATTTCACATTTTCCTGGAAGCTTACAAAGTGTAGTGAAATAAACAGGGCCAGGAGACTTCTTCTCCTTTTTAATGCCTTTATTAAAAGTGATCAGCTCAGGATTGGGCGGCTCGGCAGGGCTGCAGTCCCCGTCGCGTCTCCCAGGGCGGCTCAGAGGAGGAGGATATGCGCAGCTCCGTCCACCAGGGGCAGAGCCGGGGATCCAGGCCTCGTGGGAGCCTTTAGGGCGTGGTGTTCCCGTCAGATGTTGATCCTGTGAGCTTCCCCAGATGGCTAGTCCCGGCGTTGGGACGACTCTCTGCTCAGGGCGAGAGGGGCTCCGAAGGTGTTCAGCATCTCTGCAGGCTCAGCACTCGGCTCCTCACGTCCAGACATCACTTTAGTCTCTCAACTCTTATTTGGCTCGTTGTTTTTGGGGTTTTCTCTGTGCCTCTGGAGTCGGGGTCCCACAAAGCATTCTGGACTTTGGAGTCACTTTGCATAACCCCCCCCACCCTCTCAGGTGTCTTCCCTATGCTGGAAGAGAGCACAGCCTCGGGGAAGGGCAATCTACCGCACCCAGCCAGGCCTTTTACTAATACAAAAGAGGAGATAAGCTCTAACGACCCGTGATTACTTAGTGTTTTGTCTTAGTGACAAAACACTAAGAACTTTGGCAGAGACAGAGACCTGGCTGCGTCCCTGTAACTCTTTCTCACAAAAAAATATTAACTGAATTTTTGTTCATAACATGTAGTATGCTCAGATAATTTTTGGGAGATGAAGTATACATTGGTGAGGAACCCACTCATGCAGAGTGATGTCCTTTCAGGCGAATCATTTTCTACTAGTCATGGCACCATCTTTTTATTTTTTAAGATAAACGGTAATATGATTAAGAAGTGTGCTCAAATTTGGCTTGAGTGTGCTTTCTAATGATGAGTTAAGGAGAAGTTGCAGTGTAAAGTCAGTGTAATGTCTCTGAGTGTGTAATAACCTGGTCATGGATAAATTCAATTCTCTAGTTTTAATTAGTAGTAACATAATGAACAGAAAAAGACTGGAGGGCAGGGGGTGATGAGGGGGACACCATAAGCTTCAGAAATCACAGAAATGTGATGGTCATTGGTGGTTTCACTGTTGTTTAACTAAATCCACATTCCATGTCTGGCTTTAAATTCCACTAATATATTGAGAAACACCAGCACATATTTACTCAGTTCCTGGCCAAATACCTGCTTCAGGGCAATAGTATAATATAAAGAAATGTTTCAAGGAGTATCACACCTATCTATTGTGAATTTGTACCTACAACATCTACTATTAAGAGGGTTTGACCTAATGAATCTGCTGTTACCAGAGATGCAAAAGTCTCCACTGAGAAGAAAGAGAAATGAACACTTACTGCATCCCAGGCAGAAGGTCTTAATTGTAAAATGTATATGAGGCTTTCATTGATCCAATAAACAACTCAGAAGGTAAAATTTCTGGTTGAATTTTCAGACCAACCTGGAATTTAAAGTGCAAGGAGTTTGTTCTTAAACCCTGCTTTTTAAAGGATCAGAAGAAAAATGTGAAATGCTTACAATAAAAACGTATCTTTACTCTAGAACAACCATTCCAAACACAAATGAGCTTGTACGAAGAATACTGTGAAGGAGAGACCTTGAGATGGAGGTGATCTGGTAGAGCTTTGGGATCACTCCCTGGAGCAGATCTGAGACTGACCAGGAAAAGAGAGTGCCAAAAAGCACAGGTGCTGCTTTGCAGTGTTTTGAAGCCCCTTGGCTTCTTGCATGGCAGATGAGAAACACACTGGCATTCTGGGGCTGGGGCCTGAAGCTGGACCAGTGCCACTCAGTGAAATGCTGCTTGATAGGACCAGGTTGTTCATGTTTGGAGTAGGCTGAGGATCTTAACATGTCCTAGCATGATTCTGGCCCATGGGTATTAGTAGTTCCCTGGGCAATGCCATCAAGTGGGTTCAGCGATAATTTGTAACAGGGTCATCCCCAGCAGGCAGCAGGTTTCTTACACCACCCTGGGTATTGGGCTTGAAGCCCAAGCCATTTTGTGCATCCTTCTTCCCTGACATGGCTCATGTAATACATTATTTACTGCTGCAGAGACACCACTGTGATGCACAGCAACAGAGCCTACAAGTATCCCTTATTTGGGAAACTGAATAGATCCCCCTCCCCTGCCTTGTAAGGAAAGCATAAGACACAGAAAAGCATTAGTCTCAACTGAAAGCATAGTGCCTCTTTTTCCTTAGCTAAGGGCTCAAAGCTTTAAGACCCTCTGTGTCTCCAAAAGAAATGGCATCTCATGCCCTGCTGTCTGGGAAGACATCAAGATTCCTGGCGCCACATGCATGCCAACTGTCACAAGGTCAAGACTTAATGTAAATACCTATTCACTGGAGCAGGGAACATAAATTAGATGAGCACTGTTTAGTAGTGGGTGTTTGTTGGATTAACGTTTATCAAGAAAAGCAGGATTTGAATGACATCAGTTATTTGTATTCCTTCCCATTTTTCATGGGTTTTATTTAACTGTGATGCCAGGATGTGATTTCTGCAGTGAGGTTGTAAGTCAGTAATGTTCTTTTAATGTGGTCCAGTTTTTATTAGCCATAGTCTATATCTTTTCAGTTGCTCTTTGGCCTTTAGTTTCAAAAATGTATTGCATTGACCTGGATCAGTTTTGAATAAAGGCAACGTTACTTTATCCAGAGTAATTTTTACCAACTGAACATATTCCTTCCTATGTGACCATCTAAGTGAAATGTGTAGAAAGTCTTCTTAATTTACACCTGTTTCCCTGAAGGCATTTTTGATTAGTTTGCTGTAAAACTTCAGTGGCAGTGCAGTTTGATCACTCTGTCACCATCTGATTTTTTTTTTCCCCTCTCCCAGGAGGCTCTTTTCTGCTGGTGGCTAAGGGCTGCTAACAGTTTATCTTGTACAGGATTCCACTTTGACTTTCCTGGGCATCCTTAGAATACTAAGAATATCTGTGGAGTTACAGTAATTTTTAACACTGTACTTACAGTGTGTTACCACTCCACAAGTACTATGATGAGGAAATCCCTAAACTTCTTAGCTTTATATCCTAGTCTGGTTTTGTGGTGACTTGTTTTTTCCTTGATCATCTGTAAAATATGTTTATGCTTTTTTAAGCATTGCTTGTAGTTAGTTCACCTAAATAATATCTTGCAGAAACCCCTTTTCTGGTTTTACCCTCTGTTGTTCTCAGACTGGGTGGAATGAGGAGCAGCACCTACACATGTACTTTTGGAAGTGCTGTTTGTGACACCACAAGAGAGAGCTAACAATAGAGAGCTAATAGCACTGGCTCAAGAATACCAGGGTCTGTCTGGGGCTTCAGTACTTCTTTTCATTCTGCAGTAGAAAACAAGCACAGCCTTTCCATGCTTGTCAATTCCTTAATTTTTTAAAGTAAAACAGTAGCTTTTTATCTGGGTGGCTGGGGAGCCTTCTCTCACAAAGTTTCTTCAAAGTGCTTTTGCATCTGAGAGTATGGTTAGGTTTTGCTTTGCTTTTGTTTTTGTTGTTCCCTTCCTCTTCATGGTAGATACTTGGGAACCAGATATCTGGGGCTGAAAGTCAGTGTCCCATCCCTCAGGCATTTGTCTTGTGTGCCTGTTACACAGCATACATACCTTTTGGTTCACCCTGAAAATGTCCCCAGTGAAGTGTCTTCACAATATTTGTGGATAAGTGACTTATCTGGAATCAAACTGAGTGGTCTTTGTAGCAAGTGCTGTCATAGAAGCTTCGGAAAACTCATACCACATCCTCTACCAATAGGCAGGCAAACCCAGCTGTGCCCATCGTTCGATGTAAGTGTAATGAGCAGGCTGCAAAAAAATCACCAGGCATAAATTCTCCCATGCCTGAAGTCTCTTGATACTGCTCATCTGATAAAAAGTTAAATCCTTTTATTCCTTACTCAGCTAATAGAGCTTAAGACTGAGATAAAACAATCCAGTTAAGAAGCTACATGCCTGGGTAGAAGCAAAATAAAGGCTATTTGCCTGAATAAATTCCTGTGATTTACCTGTCATTTATGTGTCTTCACTTGAATGCTTTCCATAGCATCACTTGCTTATTTCATGGCTTGCAGGATACTCGTATTTCAGCCTGGCCAATTAAAAAGCTTTATAGTTAATTCTCAGGATGTATCAGTCTGCAGGGGGATAAAATTCCACACATACGTTTTTTCTGGAGGCTTGTGGTAGCCTGTGAGGAAGGACTACGTCACCAATGCATTTCAAGGCCAGAATGTTGTTTTTGTTGGGTTTTTTTTAAAATTTGGTTTGGGTTTTAGGAATTGGTATGTTGATCTCTCTTGGGTAGCTTATGCAGATTTTGCCATGTGGAAAGCTTCAGAAATATTCAAATAATATACTTGTGTTTAAAAAAACTATAACAAGAGGGGAAAAAAATTGGGACTTGAAATTTAGTAGATACAATACTGAATAGGTAAGATAGCTGAACAGAATAGCTTAACCTGGAAGAAGAAAACTTGAGGAGTCATAGAAGAAAACTTGAAGAGTCATAGAAGATAGTAGGCCAGATTAAAATTCCATTCTGCAGAAAGCAGCAGCATAGAAATGTGGCTTTCCTGTTTGGAAATCAAAACATTCA